CCCAAAAAAACCCAAAACCAAATTTTGGAGGCGTGGGTTCGAATCCCACTTCTGACATGTCTTTATTGCTTACTTGGAGGTATCTTCTACCAGAAGGTTGCCATTTGTGTGCTATAAAGCAGTTGCCCATTAAAGTGTGCATTCAAATCCTGTTGCTAATGTGGTGAAGCACTCTAAAAGTAAGTTCGATCCCCCATTCCCACAGACTGCCACTCTGGGTCTCTAAGCAAGACCCTTAACCCCACACTGCTCCCTTGGCAACACACAATGGCAGCCCACTGTGTCCCCAAGGGGATGGGTTAAATGCAGATAACTAATTTTGTTGCTCTGTACTTGTGACAGTGGAATGACAATAAAGTTTAATTATTTTATTATTATTCATTAAAACATATCAATGCCCTCCTGTACAAGCCATACAGATAGCACCCAATTAGTCAGATGGTTAAAGATTCCGTTTATTGTAGCTCATCACTGGTAGTACAGATGAGTATCTGATCAGGAATCCAAGCAAAGCAAATCAAAGATTTGCAACACTAAAATGATGCACTTGCAATTATTCACATTTACAAAACTATACCTCAACACACACTCAAAATTGATGTTTTTGAACATAAAACATCATCCTTTCTTTAACCAGACCTGAGTTGCTCTGTAAAAAGATAAATGATTGTTCTGTTTTCCTGCCATTCAATATCAAACATCCCTTGGGTAAGCCATTTACTTCATTGGGTAAGGGCTGTGCTTACCAGGGCTTAAAACGTCCAATCTTCCCTAGATCCTGTACCAAAATTTCTATGCTTAACCGTGGGTTCATGGGTCCAATGGAAGCTGATAGTACCCTGGGAATAAAGGTACACTTCCGTAACTCCAAATACCCCAGGGTCCATTTTAAGGATTTTTTCTCCTCATGAGTCAAAGTTTTATCCAGTTGGGCTTTTTGACTAGATGTGTATCTTTTTGGGGTTCCGGAGCTTGAGTATGCTGGGTGCCAAGACCCCTAATCCCTGAAAACCCAATTTCCATTTTATAGACCCTTCGTCCTTATGATACAGGAAAGGTTCTCACAAATAATTTTTACAAGATGAATCAAGTGTTAGTTAGTTCAATCTCTAACGTTCTGCTCTCTCTGCTTTTTCTCATAGTAGCTTCATCTGGTCTGTTCCTGTTTGGCTGTGACTCCATCCTGGAGAGAAACATCAGCTGTGCTGCTTCCATCAACTCCTTTGTTTATAGATGCTGGAGATCAGCCTGTTTTTCAGTGTAGTCCTGTTTTTCTGACCGTGACTAACTGGATGTGCTCTCTTCATCCTCTGACATGGGAGCTGGCTTGGAGCTCGTCTGCCTGGCTGTGTGTTTCCTGAACGAGGCCGCCTTTTACAGCTGCTTTTTGTGTCTCTGCTTCTGTCTCCTTGAACCCCAGTCGGCCTCAGCAGATGGCCGCCCACACTGAGCCTGGTTCTGCTGGAGGTTTCTTCCTGTTAAAAAGGAGTTTTTCCTCTCCACTGTCACTACAAGCATGCTTAGTGTGAGGGATTGCTGAAGTGTCAACGGGTTGATGCAATCAACTGGTTTTCCTTAGATAGAAAACTTTTAACCAATCTAGCTGTATGATCTGGTTGAACTGGAAAGTTCCTTGAGATGGCATGTCGGCGCTATAGAAATAAACTGAATTGAATTGAATAAGTGAGGTTTTCCTCTCCACTGTCGCTACAAGCATGCTTAGTGTGAGGGATTGTATTTGAGTCAATGCAATCAACTGGTTTTCCTTAGATAGAACACTTTGAATAAATTTGACTGTATGATCTGGTTGAACTGTAAAGTGCCTTGAGATGACGTGTTGTGAATTTGGCGCTATATAAATAAACTGAATTGAATTAAACGGTTTATCAATTTAACAGATCAAAAACCGCACCTACCTGCCACCATTTTTATTGTACATAAGATACTGTATATATAAGTCACCTTAAAACTCTCCTTCATTTTTACCATCCACCGTATACATCTGGATGCACCGTATACATCTGGATGCACTGTATACATATGGATGTTTACTTCTGGATCTTTCAGAAGTTTGAATTTGGAAAATGACCGGACTTTTTCTGCATTTTCATTCAAATGCAGATGGGTTTAACAAACGGAGAACATACTTTTATTTCTAGTTTACACTGTTTTTAAGTTACAAGATTCACCGAGAGATTCAGTTTCTGATTGCACAGGTTTCTGTCAATACTTGTCCTCCATGAAGGTGGCAATGACTGTCTCTTTGGATACTGTTTTTATGTTCACAAGACTCATATTATGCCAAAAGAGGATCAGTTTCTGGTCCTTTCCCATCCCCTTTAGAATTCCAGAGTGCCTCTTGTATATTTCACTACGAAGCTTTAGGATCAATAAAAAAAAAACTTGCACATTTTCTTAAAGTTTGGTCATATTCAGAAATCACACTTCTGAAAGTACTTTGAAAATTAAATTATTACCTACTGTTCAATAAATTATAATTTTTTTTCATTAAGAGTAATTTTCATTTTTACTGGAGGCATCCATGTTTGTCAAAGAACACTACTGCCACCTACTGGTTTGTGACGTCACGGTGCGGTATCGGCTGTTGATCAAGTCCCAGTGCTGTATCTGGTGTTTGTCACAACGCGCTATTATCCAAGTCATCTTGAAAACATTCTTCTTCCAAATGTTGGCTACATATTACGTGTTTTTTCTCTGGCCAGAAGTTCGATGGCAAATCCTCCCTCTTCAAGTTGGCAATCCAACGACCAACCCGTCCGTGGAGGATCAGGAATCAGAAAGGTGAAATAACACTTTTTTTTTTCACTTTTACCCGATGTATTCCAACATCCAGCTGCCATGCACGTGGACATTGTCAGTTTCACTATAGCTCTGGTGAATTTCAATGGTGAAGTCCTCTGGAAATCTTCAATAATTGTTGTTGATTGCAGATGTGTCTAGTAGTTCCCACTGATTTTGCTTGTAAAGGGGGGAGAATGGCGCTAGGCTTACCGCACCGTGACGTCACTGTGAACGTATTAGTTTTAGGTATAAATAATGATCCATTGATCATTGCTTGCTGACCAGAGTTTTCCTTCAAATCTAAACATGTAATTTTGTTATGGAGTACCTCTGAGACAGCTATGCAGATTAATAGGAAAAACTGTTCCAGAAAAGTTAACCAATAAGTGCATTAATAGAGAATAACCTCTATTAACGCAGTTATAACCTCCATTTACAGATGGAGGCAGAAAGCTTTGGAGCAGCCTGGTGGTTCCATTTTTTTTCATGCCATTATTGTTTCTATGGTACAAGTTTATTGAATTCATGGAGAAGGTATGAAGAGTTGTTTAAATATTTAGAGAATGCAAGTAAGGAGGGATTTTAAAGAGTCCCCACAGAAGGTGTTCTTCAATCACATGAGGTCCTCTGAGATCTGGATTAGGATTATTTAAACACTGGCCATGAACTCTGCTAATGCTGAGTCTCAGGTATGCCCAATCTGAGACTTTAAGTTTGATCATCAACTTCTGCTTAGTAGAAAAACAGGCCGTTTCTGGACCAGCGAGCAAGTAGTTTGACTTCCTTTGTTTGTATAGATTGTTAATATTGCTGTGGCGTGACCTCAAGATTAATATATATGAATAGTAAAAATATGAGCAAACATTTAAATCAAATGCACAACAAATGAAATAAAAATTATGCAACTAAGATAAGAGTTGACGTTCATGAAAAAGCAGATGTCCATATTTACCGGAGTCAGCAGTTTCTGCACTTCTAAGGCTGAAAACTTCTGCTCAAATGTAAATATAATATAATGTAAATCATCATAATGCATCAGACAACTCCATCCACTTCCACACAAACATCTAAAACCCACCTAGAACTGGGCCAGGAGAATTAGCATATTCCACATCACTACTACATGTTTAAGTATTATCATTAAGAACATCCTAAATTACAAAGATAAGAAAACAACAGTTGCCTTCTTTTATCAACTACCTTTATTATCAAAAATCACCGTAAATGCATACTGGAATTCAGTATTTCTCCCCTTTTAAGCTTTACAGTCAAATGTTATTGGACACATCGTCATATTACAGACTAGCTTTAGTAAGGATATCAGCGGAGAAAAAGAAGAAGGGAATACATTGGAAAGCAGACTAACCAGAAACAGATTATAAAAAATAAAAAAAAGAAAGACCATAATTCCAGGTTTCTGGAGAAATGCTTAGGAATTCTTCTGTGGAATCTTCATTGTCACCTGAAATCAGAGCAAAGCAATAATTATAAAAGGCAGATCATACATTTCATCACGCATCACTACTAATGCATTATATTGCCTCAGATGGGAGTTTCACTAAGGTTTTGTTTTAAAAAAAAACATCTTTCTGTAAATAGGAACAAAAGGCTTAAAAGGAATATCTCCATTGACCTTTGTATATTAATCTTCCAGAAAGCTTTGATTTGACCTTGTGGACCTGCTGTAGAGATCATACTGGATTTGGTTCTGAATTCAGTAAAAAGGAACAACCTGACACCCAAAACCCATGCCAGATGAAAAGAGCCAGTCTCTCAGTAAAGGAGACATCCCTAACAGAGAGGGTGGACTCTCAAAAACCTACAACGCAGCGATACAATTGAAACGTCTTCAAACTTGGAACATTTTTTTGTTTTTTTAACTTTAACTTTTTAGAATGATTGTGACCTGGATGACTGAGAATCTCCACCAACACCCCAAGGCTGGTTTGGACAGAATGAAACTTCCCGTCCACCGAGTCTGAGGCGTGAAGAACCGCAGGTCCAGGGACCCGCTTTGATTCAGTGAGGTCCAGCTGGACCTTTATTTCCATCTTCTCCCAAACTTTTCCTGAGACTCACGTCGTATGGAAAGTTGTTCGATTTAACATTCAATAATAGGATAGAAACTAAAACTTTATGTACTCCGAAATGTATTCTTTATTTTGTCTGTATGCATTTGTTTATTATTCATTGATTGATTACAAGAAATGTTTATGTGTTTAAATATATAATGTTTTGCTTTTTTAACACTGTAATTAATGTATTTTGATTATTTTTGTGGGTTTCTTTGCTGTTATTTAACAACCTTTTTTATTTAGGGCTATAAATATATCTTAAAACAAAGTATTATATAAAAAATAAATATTTCTTCAAATTAATACATTATAAGTAAAATAAATATATGGATACCTCGGAGCCCTTTATAGTAAGGGTGTGCAAAATAATCGTCATATCGATGCATCGCGATTCTAATTTTTGTGATCTACTGCATCGATTCTTGCCTTCAAGAATCGATTACTAAAAAAAAAAAAAAAAATGAACAAATAAAATACATGAATGGTTGGCGCACATCAGCCAAACCAAGTGGAATACAACTTCCAGTCCAGCAGATGTCGCTGCGGATGTGTTGACGCCCGCTGCTTTGTGTCACAAGCATTTCCGGCCGTGGGATACTGCGACGAGTCATAATAAAACATGGAGGACACTATGAAAATTCGCCCCGCGGCTCCATCACATTTCAAGTCAGATGCTTGGATGCATTTTGGCTTTAAAAACAAAGAAGGTAAAAACGAAATTGATATGATGCACGTAATTTGCAAAAGGGGAAATATACAGTTGAATGTTTTCATTTTATTGGTTTAAAGGACCACTGAGGCCATGTAAACGGCACTGATTATTCTTATTTTGTTCTTTTAATGAATTTGATGAATCCTAAGATCTTTTTGTCAGTGTGTCCAGGCCAGTAATAGTAATATTTGTGTCCAGTATTTGTTTTCATGGCAACACCTCCAAAAGTCGTTTCAATAAATACAGCTATGTATGAATTCAACTGCTTTCAGTTATGTATCAATTGAAGACACGATCCAGATCATACCCAGCCAGTCAGCCACTGGTAAGGGCTGTATCTTTTTCTTACAGTGTTCAGTGAAAATATCGCAATGCATCACAATATTTCAAGTATCATGATGCATCGTGATAGAATCGCATCGTAGCATGTGAATCGTGATTCGAATCGAATCGTGACTTCTTTTCCAATACCCACCCCTACTTTATAGGGTAAGTTACAGTTTTTGAACCCTTCCACACACCTTCCAAATGGACTTTGACAAATGTTCCTAGTGAGGTATAGAAGCTAAAGAATTGTATCCAGTCATTCAGAAAAGACACAGCTACATGCTATACATCTTACGTTGGTATTTGACCAATTACACAAGCCCTTGAATGATATATTACCTTCTGTAAATAAGTAGAAAAAAAAAGTTAACAAGTCAAGAAAAAAAGGCAAAAAAGCTAATTGAAAAGTTAAAAAGTTAATAAGCCTAGTTAACAGTTCTATTTAGGTTTAGAAACTAAAAAAATTAAGGAGCCAGTATCAGCAATAATGCCTCTAAGGTTATGTTTACCTTTCAGAGAGCAACCTTGATATAAGTGTCTTATGTTCATTATATTAAGCTTTGTTAATGCTTTTATTTGTTTTGATTTTATAGGTTTCTTTTGTTGCTTTAAACTCTTTTGTTTCAGTAAAACTCTGGTGTTTTAAAAAGCTTTATCAATCAATATTATGGAAGTTAAAATGTTTATTTCATTCTGAACATTTAATCCCGTTTCCCATTAACATTCTCTTCAAGTAGTAAGGTTTGATGGTTGTTTAAGCCATGTTCTTTCTTCACTTGGTTTATTATTAAAACATATCAGTCTAGTTATTGATAGAATTCTCTAAATCTTGTTAAACTGTCTATCTGTAGCTTTCAGGACTTTATGTCTGTGTTGGTTACTTACTGTTTTAACTTCTGTGTAGGCCTCCAGCCCATACTCGCCTAGCTCTCTGCCATTCCCTGAGGCCTTGTAGCCTCCAAATGGAGCCTGGGGTACAAACACGTTGTAGCAATTTATCCTGTTGAGAGGGAGGGGGAAAAAAAGTCACTTTACCTCCATATTATACTCACAGTGAGAGTGAAAGTATGTACAACACTTCTGAGCACCAATTAGTAATCATCAAGGAACTTTTGTCAATTTCCTTTTTTGTTTGCTGGCCTTTGTTATATTCCCCGATCCAATCAGACTGAGATCTGGACTTTGACTAGGCCATTGAAAATCCTCACTTTTCTGATCAGAGATTGAGTTTGCTATCATTGTCTTTATTACCAAATTTCTTCACACCCCTGTCATACCTTGCCGATTTAGACCAGCGTATGCCTGACGGACCAAATAAATATGGCAAAAATGGTGGCATACGTCGGATAAGCTATAGGTCAGTCAGGCACATGTCAACATATGGCAAGTAGTGAGCCATAAGTTACAGGTAAGTTATTTGATCGTTGACACACGCTAAGTGTCAGTTACTCATAAGTCGTGGCGTCTAGCACATCCAAAACATATGAGTAACCTGTGCATAACTTCTGCGTAACTTATCAAGAACTCATCTGGTCTGGTGATTGGTTAAATGCATTGGTTAAATTTTGTGGGGGAGTGTTGGCTTGTGGGTTAGAGCAGGGAGCTTGTGCTCTGAGAAGGTTGCAAGTACCCGGTTTGATCCCCACAGCTTCCACTATGGGTCTCTGAGCAAGACCCTTAACTGCAAACTGCTCGCCAGGCGCTGCACAACGGCAATAAGCTTAATTAACAAATCAGGTTGGCATAGTTAAGACTTAACAAAAGGTTCACATACCAGACTGTCCCGGCCCGGAGCCCACTGGACACATAGTTGGCCTTATCAATGTCATTTGTGAAAACCGAAGCTGCGAGTCCATATTTGGTGTCATTGGCTCTGGTTATAACCTCCTCCAGTGTCTTAAACTTCAGAATCTGCATCACTGGACCAAAGATCTGAAAGACAACAGAAATAACAACCGTTCTCAACATGGGCCGAAGTCTTTAATCTAACTGGATCATCTCATTCAGTTGTTTCTCTAAATTGCCTCTCTAAATGTACTGAATGAAATTACAGAGAGCTGCTAAGGAACCGAGGCAGGTTTTTAATACGCTGCATCCTCAGTGGACTGGTTGTATATTGAACAGTCATTCTTGAGCGTCCCATTCCAGCCATTTCGGACGGCCCATCAGTATATTGCTATAAAGTTCTTGATTTCCAACTTCAATCAGAGCTGAATGCCTTCATACTGCTATGAGGGCATCATCTGTAAAGACATAGACAGGATTGGGGTATTGCAGGCTAACAAAAGAAGCCAAACAAACCCCACTCCAAAGGGGTGGACCCGTTCTTCCGTTTCAATTTGCATGTTTCTAAGCCAAAACGAGACTTTGCTGGACTACTGTATAAAGCCTCGAGCACACAGCAACATTTCAGGCATTTTGAATTGAAAAAGCTTCCTGGATGGGAAGCAAAACTTCTTCAAACATGGAAGCAAAGTCCAGTGGATTGTTTGTTTAACTTTTTTGGAATGCCTTATATGTGTTTTTCATATATATTTAGGGCTGAGCACAGAGCAGGCATTAATGCATGTGAGGCTGTACTCAATTATTTACAAATTGGATTGGATGAAAGAAAATTGTGCAGTTTATCATTTCTGAATTTCAGTGCTGCAAATATCCAAATTTCTCCCTAGGGCTGACTTTCACTATAAAGACTTATCCTTCTGTTGTGCATGAAAACCAACGTGATTTAAGTTGCTCTCCTTTTTTTAACTTCCCCCAACACTGACCTCCTCCCTGGCAATAGTCATGTTGTCCTGGACATCACCGAACACTGTGGGCTGTATGAAGTAGCCTCTGTCTGCAGCCACTCCTCCTCCACACATCAGCTTTGCCCCTTCTCTCTTCCCACTGCTGATGTAGCCAAGAATCTTGTTGAACTGCTCCTGATCCACCTTGAAAGTGTCACAGAAGAAAGAGAATCACTTACAGACTATAAGCCTGGGCATACACTGTGCGATCTTTTGCCCCTTTCGGGCCGATTCTCCACTGGCGTGAGAATTTTTTCCATCGGGCCGACTTTCAGTCTGATTGTGTCCTGTAGTATACAGGGGGTAGCTAGGGGCGATTAGCCTCTCACGACCACCTTCCAATCAGGAATCGTAAGGTCGGGAGAAAATCAAAAATGTTTGAAATTCAGTCGGCCGTCGTGAGGTGTTGGTGGGTAAAGCCTGCTGCTGAAGCAGAGCTAAGAGCCGATTTACAAGAACCGCGAGCACTGGACATGTGCAAGCAAGGGAGTAGTTCTTCTTCCAGACGAGTCCGACCAGTGCCGTCTCTCTGCGCTGAGTCCGACGTGTGGTTTTTTTGACATGCAGTGTGAGCAGGTAGATCGCATCAGAGCGTCGGGTCGGACAGTGGAAGAATAAACATCGTGAGCTGGGAACTGTCAAACCCTGCCGTTTCGTTATATAGTTTCAGTTGTAGCTGCGTGCAACGATTAAACATTTGGCACAGTGTATGCCCGGCTTTAAGCCATGAACACATGAAGACCTGGAACCAACTTAAAACATCACAGGAAATGGCGTTACCTGAGGGCCCTGCTCAGTCTTGAAATCAAACGGGTCTCCCACCACTCGTCTTTTAGCACGCTCCACACTACGCTCCACAAATTCATCGTAGACGTCTGCTTGGACGAAGAGTCGAGAGCCAGCGCAGCAGCACTGGCCTTGATTGAAGAACAAGCCCATGTGGGACTGCTCCACGGCATTTTCCACTGGAAAAGTGTTAAAAGATCATTAAACAGCAGCATAGATGAGATCACAGTAGGAATGCACTCAGTAGAGACATGGATGCATTTTGTTAGCAGTGGGTAGACTTTAACAACCCAACAGACTTTTCTTCATGTGTTTATTTCAAACTGGGCGGCCCTAAGCAGCAGAGCTGCCCTCCAACAAAAGCCAGTTGATAAATCAAAGGATATTTGATAAGAAAAGGGTTTGGCAGGGAGCCGCCTAACTCTTGAAACAGTCCAGATTAAACATAAATCCACAGCTAATGATATGAGCTAGCAATGGGCATGAATTGTTTTAAAAGGGGGCTTCTTAAGTCGGGTTCTCATTAGAAATAACCTTTACGACGTCGGAGCAAATGTGTGCCGCTGAATGTGTGCATTGATGACTGAAAGACATCTTCTGCCTCCTTTTATCTGTTTACTACAATGTGTTGAATTCGTGTTAATAAAGACATTTCCCTCCGTCTTAAAGATTATGTCGGTCCATGCATTCCAGAACATGTTCCCTCAGAGCGCTGAAGAACAGAATCCACTAAGCCACAGGTGTCAAACTTGTTCCAGAAAGGGCCGTGTGGCTGCAGGTTCTTTCCAACCAAGCAATAGCACACCAGAATCCAGTCATCTCATCAAGTCATCATGTTCAGATTGGACTCCCTTGATGAGATGCATGGATACTGGTGTGCTATTGCTTGGTTGGAAAGAAAACCTGCAGCCACACGGCCCTTTCTGGAACCAGTTTGACATCCCTGCACTAAGCTATCTGTTCACAGAAGCCATCTGGTTGCAATTGATCTTTAATGATGCCATAGAGCAGGGGGTGCTGTGAAATTGACCATAAAGGCATAAACTCAACTGCTGCATTGTAGGTTTTTGAAAGCTGAAACCTGAGTCCACCCCCTCTGTAAGGTTGGTTTTTCTTTCTTAACATGGGTGGCTTCCTTCACACCCCTCTCAAACCAGCTATCTTCTTTGTCCAAAATGTGAACATTCTGGTCCTCAAAAACAAAGTCCAGCGGGTTGTTTTTTTAACCTTTTTTTGGAATAACTATGACCTGGATGCATCCCAACCATCCCTTCACTGGTTTGGTTCTGAATGTCAAACTCAAAAATCCAAAGAGGAGACAGTATGAAGAACTAAACTTTACAGAGAAGACAATCCACTTGACTGCTACAATTAATGAAAACCAAAGAGCGAGATGAAACGACATGCTGCTGTTGAGAGCACAGAGTCTGGAGAATACATACAGCTGGCATCAGACAAAACGATGTTCGGACTCTTCCCTCCCAACTCCAGCGTGACTTTCTTCAGGTTACTGCTGCCTGCTGCCTGTTGGATGAGATGGCCCACCTGACAGAGAAAAACCAGGAGCTCAGCATATTTGGTGCTCATTAAGTTTAAAAAAACTTCTCTAAACCCAAACTACAGTCATCTGATAACTTAGCTGCTCTGATATATTCTTTATAAACAGAGGTCAAGGTTAAACTGACCTTTAAAGGAAAAGTCCTCTCATATTCAGAATTCAAACTTCTGAAAGTTCTTTAAAAATGAAATTATTCCATCCTGTTCAATAAATGATCAGTGTTTTTAATTCAGAGTAATTTTCATGTGAATGTGCTTTACTGGAGGCATCCATGTTTGTCAAAGAACACTACTGCCACCTGCTGGTTTGTGACATCACGGTGCGGTATCGGCTGTTGATCAAGTCCCAGTGCTGTATCTGGTGTTTGTCACAACGCGCTATTATCCAAGTCATCTTGAAAACATTCTTCTTCCAAATGTCGGCTACATATTAAGTGTTTTTTCTCTGGCCAGAAGTTCAATGGCAAATCCTCCCTCTTGAAGTTGGCGATCCAATGACCAACCCGTCCGTGGAGGATCAGGAATCAGAAAGGTGGAATAACTTATTTTTTCTTCCCTTTTACCCGATGTATTCCAGCATCCAGCTGCCATGCACGTGGGCATTGTCACTTTCACTATAGCTCTGGTGAATTTCAATGGTGAAGTCCTCTGGAAATCTTCAATGATTGTTGTTGATTGCAGATCAGTCTAGTAGTTCCCATTGATTTTGCCTGTAAAGCGGGGAGAATGGCGCTAGGCTTACCGCACCGTGACATCACTGCTGGAAGATGGCAGGAGGGAGGGGCTACTATATTTGGGCAAAAATGGCCGCTCCCAGACTCACTGAATGTGAGAAAATTTATTATTTTTATTTTTTTACTGATTAACCCTAAATTCATTAAATCACTGCAAACGTATTAGTTTTAGGTATAAATAATGATCCATTGAATATTTCTTGCTGACCGGACTTTTCCTTTAAAATCTTCCATTGAAAATCTATGGCAGTAAGCCGTTTTATTCTAAACTAACTGAAGACTATCACTGCAGCGTCCCCTACTGTCCCACTGCCTCACTGCAGTGTGGGATGTTCAGTGGCATAAAAAAAAAAACCCTGCATGTTTAGGGTGATATTGTAGAAAGTAAATAAGAAGAGCTCAACTCATCTAACCTTAACTCATTTCATCTTTACTCCTACGTTAGTTAGTTTTTTTTTGACTCAATTAGGAGTCCCACCTGAGATTACAGGTTGGGCCCAAACTCTTATTAGAAAAAAGCAACATAAAGTATTTTTTTTTTATTCAAACAAACACTGAGATTTAAATGTTAGCACAATGATTTAAAAAGCCTCTCCCACCCAGCATTATGTCCTGATTGGTCCTCTTGCTGCCATTGTTCCTAAGAGATTAGATTACCAGCTTCATCTCACACTAGTGAAAATCTTCAATGCTGTAAACTGATTCAGGAGGTTCCAACAAACAAGCATGGATGTGCTGGGATGGCATCACCACACAGATCTCTGGGGGAACTTTATGGCTAAAACTCAAATGGTAGTAATGCATAATCTTAAAAACAACAAACATTGATTCTAGGAATGTGAGAGATCAGAAGAGGATTAGGATTCAGCTTATCTGAGCAGCAGGTGTTATGTAAATGTTTTGCAGTAAAAGAAACAGAACGGTGTATGGCAAGGACAATGAGGAGAACTTTTTGTCTGATGTGTTTGCATTTAGCAATCATCTGACCACCCAGAATACTGTTGTGGAAAATTTTGTGCATGACTATATGTACAATTATTTAGTACAAGAAATTAGTATGTTTTAGTTAGTGACCTTACATTTCTGTCTAAAGGAGTGAACTTCTGTTAGAACCTTGCAAACAATACCTTGTTGCTTTTAAGATATATGGTGTCAGATTTATTACTCTGGTTATTAAAATGCAATAAGCCTTCAAATAAACGTACAAAGACAAGATTGACCCTCTCTTTTTTGTTGAAACAGTGCCTAACTTCCTGATAACTTCCATAACAGCACAACACACAGTGTAAACATGTGGACATCAGGTATAAAGTGCTCAGACTTAAGAATTTTCAGAGGAAATAAATATGGTGTTTCTGCACTCAACGCAGTGCACCTAAGAATATCTGAAGGAGACATTCTGACCAATATACCTCTGTGGATCCAGTAAAGGCCACCTTGTCCACGTCCATGTGGCCTGCAATGGCTGCTCCAGCTGTCGGTCCCATTCCAGGCAAGATGTTGACCACACCTTCAGGAAAACCCACCTGAACAAAAAGAACACTTATTCAGTTTATTTCTATAGCGCCGACATGTCATCTCAAGGAACTTTCCAGTTCAACCAGATCATACAGCTAGATTGGTTAAAAGTTTTCTATCTAAAGAAAATCAGTTGATTGCATCGACGCGTTGACACTTCAGCAATCCCTCACACTAAGCATGCTTGTAGTGACAGTGGAGAGGAAAAACTCCTTTTTAACAGAAAGAAACCTCCAGCAGAACCAGGCTCAGTGTGAGCAGCCATCTGCTGAGGCCCACTGGGGTTCATGGAGACAGAAGCAGACATAGAAAAAGAAGCATAGATACAAAAGGCAACTGTAAAAGGTGGCCCCAGCCAGGAAACACACAGCCGGGCAGACGAGCTCAGAGCCAGCTCCCATGTCAGAGGATGAAGAGAGCACATCCAGTTAGTCACAGTCAGAGAAACAGGACCACACTGAAAAACAGCCAGATCTCCAAGATCTATAAACAAAGGTGTTGATGGCAGCAACACAGCTGATGTTTCTCTCCAGGATGGAGTCACAGCCAAACAGGAACAGACCACATGAAGCTACTATGAGAAGAAGCAGAGAGAGCAGAACGTTAGAGATTGAACTAACAAATACCGCAGAATGGAAGAATGGAGATAAAGTGAAGCAGAATGACGAAATGAATAAGCAGTCTAAGCCTACAGCAGCATAACTATAGAGATAGCTCAGGATAACCTGAGCCACTATAACTATAAGCTTTATCAAAAAGGAAAGTTTTAAGCCTAGCCTTAAAAGTGGACAGGTGCTCTGTTCGAAAACCTAGGACGCATCCTTAGAAGGCCAGATTTGAAGGCCGTTTACGTCATAGCGCGGCGCCGAGGTCTGGTCGGATTCCAAGAGTCCTCGTTATGCGGCCTTAAAATGCGTCCTTCTTTTTGCCCGATTTGAAGGACGGGTCTGATGTATCCTCGGTATTCTTGGATATCCCAGGATTCATTGGGAGACCAAGCAAGCTGTGATCAGAGGAAATGTCACTCGGCGCCGAAAAGTGGTGAAAATTGGAAGTTCAGTTTAATATAATACAAGTCATTTAATAGTTCCGTCTGAGATTAATGAAAATATTTGTTTTAATGGTTATAGAGTCAGATATGTGGCGGTAATGTTTGATTTATCTAAAGGTTTTAATCTGTTACTGATTAAATGGGTTTGGCTGGAATTTAAAGACAGATTCTAATATATCTGCAGTGTGGGAACTATAAATCTGATAGGAGTTTTATTTTTTTTATTGCTGTTTTGCACAGTATGCTTAGTTAAATATTTTTTGTTGTTGAATATTAGAGATTTTGCAGATAGATTTTTTACACATACATTGTTTAGATTAACTTATCTTTCGACTCCTTTTATAGAATAGAATAGAAAATCCCTTTATTTTCCCACAATGGGAAAATTTACAGCAGCAGAAAGATTATTGAAAATGGTCACACAAATGAGGACCTTAGAAAAATGTATAAGAATAACATAATAGGGAAGAGTTAAAATATAAACAATACAATACTGTAAAGTGTTTTAACAATATAAAACTGAAGAATAAATAACCAATATGCAGCTATGGACATTTTTACAGTAATGGTTATTTGAAAATAGCAGCAACATCAGAGATGTGCAGAATGACAGCAGCAGGTTATTTAACTGACTAAGGTTTCTATCATTACATTTGATTTTATTTGTTCCTGCTCCCGCTGGTTGGAACCTTTATTCCTCTCTGGATTCTTGTGAGTGTAGTCTTTGTTCACTTCAGAATAAAAAATAAATAAATAAACAAACAGTTTTGAAAACTTCGGTTTTCATTCTTTTCCTGCTTTGTGTGTCAACTTTCACGGTTGCTAGGCAACAGAGCATACGGCGGTAAAAACCAGCCGAAGGGTGGACCTGTTTGAATTCACATCCAAAACTCTTCCGGTCTCCTTATTTTCAAGGACTTTGAAGGATCCAGTCTAGGTAGACCGCGTCCTTGGAGGATGCAGCCCACGATTTCGAACAGAGCCAGGGTGTCTGCCTCACGGACTAAAACTGGTAGTTGGTTCCACAGGAGAGGAGCATGATAACTAAAAGATCTGCCTCCCATTCTACTTTTAGAAATTCTAGGAACCACTAGCAAACCTGCAGATTGAGAGCAAAGTGCTCTGTTAGGAACATAAGGAACAATCAGATATCTGATATCAGATGGAGCTTGGCCATTTAAGGCTTTATATGTGAGAAGGAGGATTTTAAATTCTATTCTGGATTTAACAGGAAGCCAATGAAGAGAAGCCAGGATAGGAGAGATATGAAAGAGGTTACACACTTGTTTGGCAACTACTTTCTCAAGAATTTTGGATAAGAAAGGAAGATTGGATATAGGTCTCTAATTGACCAAGTCATCTGGTTCCAAAGACGGTTTCTTAAGCAGAGGTTTAATTCCAGCAACCTTAAAAGCCTTTGGTACAAATCCCTGTAACAGAGATAGATTGATCACATCTAAAATGGAGGAGGAGATCAAAGGGAATACCTCCTTAAATAACCTGGTTGGAACTGGATCTAACATACAAGTTGAAGGCTTAGATGAAGACAATAGTTTTGCTAACTCTGAAAGTTCAACGCAAAGCAGTCTAAACCTGGTTCAGAGTTCATGACTACCTCAGACACTGCCCCACCTTCCACAGACAAAACAATCGCAGAGAGAGGAGTGCTTATGATCTTATTAATAAGATCAATCTTATTTATAAAGAATCCCATAAAATCATTACTTCTAAGAGCAGGTGGAATGAACGGTTCAACAGAGCTATGGTTCTGGGTGAATTTGGCAATAGTATTAAAAAGAAATCTAGGATTATTCTTATTCTCCTCTATTAATGGGGAGAAATATGTTGCTCTTGCTTTACAAAGGGTCCTCTTATACAGCAGTAAACTATTTTTAGACTAGGTAGGATTCCCGTAGGCATGTAGACCGCCATTTTCTAATCCAACCACCACATGGGTTCATTTCCCTAATCTCAATGAAGAAAAATAAACTCTGAGAAATATCCTCAAAAAAGGAAAATCTTCATGTTTGATCTGATTCAAGTGTAAAAATTAAAAAGCAGGATACCTCTTTAATGAGACTGGCCACGTAGAGAGCTGTGAGAGGAGTTTGCTCAGCAACCTTCATCACAACTGTGTTTCCCGTTGCCAAGGCCGGACCCAGTTTCCAGGCTTGCATCACCAGAGGAAAGTTCCACTGTAGCAAAGGGAAGAAAAACATGGATCAGTTTCAGAAAACTGTTGATCCATTCTCTTTTTAAAACATAGCTTGTTTGCATGCAATGGGAAAAATAAACTTAAATCAGCAGAGAATTAAGCCTTAGCAAATCTCTACATTTCTCACAACAGAGTAATTTAATATGCATAATTTAGTTACACAGAAGGCAGATCTCTAATTTCATCACAGATTAAACACGAATGTGACAGGTGTGCTGTTGCAGCTAAGCATGCATAAAACCCACACATACAGGTATAATCTGTCCACAGACTCCAACAGGTTCATGTCTGGTATAGGTGAAGTACTCCCCATCAACAGGGATGGTCTTTCCCTCCCACTTGTCTGCCCAACCGGCATAGTACCTAAAGAGAGGAGGTTTAAAACAGCTTCAGGTTTGAAGAACACTGCTATTCAAAGATAATGCAAAGGCCTGTGTGTTTGGAAAATCTAGTTTCTCTTACTTCATATATTCATTTATGCAATTCACTCACTATGAAAGCCTGCTTCATCTGCAAGGCCACACAGTTCCCCTGAGTGAGGGGTGTTTGCAGACCAGACATACAGTACCTTCTCATGGTTCATTTATAACATGTTACTGCTTAACCAAAGTGTCTGTAATTTGTTCTGACGCTGACAACTTTCCATTATTGTAAGTAAGGGGGAACGAACACTGCCCAGGCAGAACGGGGCTGATTACGGTGCAATCAGGGCCAAATGATGAACTGTTCTCTCCTTGCAAAGATGAAAATAAAGTGCTGACTGAGTGAAATCCATCAATCTTGGTTTATTTAAAGGAATAGTACACCCAAAACATTCCAACTACAGCCTGTCTGACATCATAATTGTCATTGATTTTGCTTGTAAAGCGGGGAGAATGGCGCTAGGCTTACCGCACCGTGACGTCACTGCTGGAAGATGGCAGGAGGGAGGGGTTACTATATTTAGGCTAAAATGGCCGCTCCCAGACTCAGTGATCATGACGAAAAATATTATTTTTAGTTTTACAGATTTACGCTAATCTCATTAAATCACAGTGAATGTATGAGTTTTAGGTATAAATAATGATCCATTGATTACTCCCTGCTGACCGGACTTCTCCTTTAATGTCCACAAATCATGACAGAAACATTTTTAGTACAAAAATTGATGTTTAAAAAGGAATTATATGAGACCAGCCAAGGGCCCATCAAGAAAAGTGGGGAAATTTTGAATGGCTACTGCTGTGGCTCTTGTGTTTTGGGGGAATCGGGCAGCCTGAAAGCAGCGCTCTGAGTCACATGACCCATTTAGTGACAGATCTGATGTCACACAGTGAAGCTTTAAATATATCCTTGGCTTCAGAGGAGGTATGAGCTTTGGCAGCTTAGAGTAGCTGTGAGGGGTGGGGATTCAGGCAGGGGTTGTGCTGACCCCCCAGGTGGCCTGAGCTTCTGCTTGGTACCCTGTGGCCTGGCAGGAAGGTGTTGGGAGGCTGGGTGGGGGTGCACCGGTTACTAGCACCAAGACATGTCTGGCCTGGATAGATTTGGGGGTCTTACTTCCTCCACCAACGTCCAGCAGAAAGAACACCAAGCATAGCTAACAACTGTGGATGGAAATCTGAAACCTTTTCCCTAATTAAAAACCTCATTTCAGTCCCTTTCACGTGCCTTAATAAATCATAGGGAGAGCATTCAGGGCATCGGGCTCCCTCCACACACACAGCTGCAGTCACTGCTCCACTACTGGCTGCTGTAATCATTCCGCTCTCTTTTTATTTACACCCTTCATCTTGTTCTTATGTGGTCTTAATAATAATAGCTCCAATTGTTTAACACATTAATAATAACACAGCAAATCGGACGTTTCTGGAAACAGTCACACTTCCATAAACAGGGCTATGCTGTGGGACGTCTGTATTCTCCTTCATACTCTGCATGTGCAGATAAACAGATATTCTTTCTAAAAACGAAAACTTCTATAATACAGCAGTCAATTTACAACTGGTTTGTTAAATTAACATGAAACTTGAGAAGAGAATTAAAAAACACAAAGCATTGACATAAATATCACCTTTAATCATTTTCCAAAAACCAGCTCAGCTCATTGTTCTGAATTTCTCACCTGAGACATTTCACAACCAAAGGTAAATCAGCCATATAGGCGATGGCATACGGCTTCCCGTTGTCCAATGTCTCCAGTTCCTGAGGCAAGAAAATAGTTTCATGATCAACTGCTGCTTCTTAAACAAACTGCATATAATCTGCATCATATTCAGGCTTTTAACACAGAATGGTGTTTAAAAAAACATCATAAAGTTATAGAAGTAATTATAATGAAGGTAATTCTGGTACAAAAGCTAAAAGTAAAAAAGTCACTTTCAAAAAACTATTTTCCAACAAATAAAAGTGAGCATTAAACTGGAACATTCTCCCACACTGTTTACATTAGATCACTACTGCACTTTATGAAGTGGAAATATTCATTTCACTGCTAAGCTGCTGCTTATTAAATTAATTCACATCATGTCATCTCAGGTCACTTTCCAGTTCACCAGATCATACAGTCAGATTGATTCAAAGTTTTCTATCTAAGGAAAACCAGCTGATTGCATCGACTCAGCGACTCGAAGGCAATCCCTCACACTAAGCATGCTTGTAGCGACAGTAGAGAGGAAAAACTCCCTGTTAACCAGAAGAAACCTCCATCAGAACTAGGCTCAGTGTGAGCGGCCATCTGCTGAGGCCGACTGGGGTTCAAGGAGACAGAAGCAGACATAGAAAAAGAAGCAGAGATATTTTACTGTCTGAAAGCTGAACTAAAATGTCTAAGAGGTCTAGGTCTAACATCCAGTCTGCTTAAGCAAATCTTCCTTAGAAATAAAAATAGACAAAGGGAAAAAGAAATGATTGGTGCTGAAACAATTAATCGGATTAATCCAGATTAATCAACTGCTGAAATAATAGTCAACTAATTTAGTAGTCGATTGATCGTTAAATTGAGTATAGAGACTATGAAACATGCTTTTAGCTGACAGAGTGATTCCACATAGAGCAGTAATTATTAATTTAAAAAAAATATATATATATACAAATTTTGCATTTAAGATAAAAAAAAGGTTTTCATCTGTCAATATCCTCTATCCAGAACTCCTCAAGTGGAAAGGTTTTAGTTTCACCGGATTTAATGTTATAAAAAGTCTTTATTAAGGAACCTTTGGCTATCAAATTATTGATCAAATTAATCGATTTGCAAAATAATCGCAAGTTGCAGCCCTAGAAATTATAGATTTTTGATACTGCATATCAAACAATCTTGTTTATTTCACTTTCCTGCATCAGGACTTTAGGATTTCTGACAGTTTCAGAAACTTTTAGTAGTCATATGTTCCAGTTTCAATCTTACTCAAAATCTAAATCAATAAAAAAAAGAAAAATTGCCTTAATAATTTTCAGATAAAGAGAAAAAATATATTTTTGTGTTAAAAATAAAAAAAACAGCAACTCTTTAGAGATAAGTGTTGAGGTGTGAACAGACAGTACTGGAGCATACAGAGGAAAGTTTCCAGACATCAGTATTTAACTAGCTACTTACAGCGAGGTAAGCAGAGTCTCTCTCAATAGCATCAGCTAGTCTGTAAAGGAGCAGACCGCGATCAGACGCGTCCATACGGCGCCACGGGGAGCCCAGCCTGAAGGCATCACGTGCTGCTTTCACTGCCTTGTCCACATCGGCCTGGAAAGGGGCAAAGGATTTATTCTGTTTTCTGCTAAACACTGAGAGGATTAAAAGAAATGCAGAACAAACAACTCTATACAAAAACCCGGAGAACAAGAATAGATTTTTTTTCATGCATATATTCCCTTACAAAGGAATCAGGTGGTAAGTCAGGAAAAAGGCATTTCTGTCCTGCCAGCATTACCTTATCAGCCTCTGCAACCTGACAGATGACTTCTCCAGTGGATGGATTGATTGTAGGAAAGGTTTTCCCACTCACAGCATCCTGCCACTCATTGTTGATAAAGAGCTGAAGCAGAAAACATTGTAAGAAATCTCACATTTTCTACAGTAACATTTCCAGTGAGGTAAAATAAAGGTTCCAGTGAAACAGGAAACACACCGATTACATTTCTGTCGATAAGAAAACAAGATAAGAAAATGGCCTTTTAACAGCCCCCCCCCCCCCCCCCCCCCCCGGGAGTGGGTACAGGTTGTCCATGTGCATTTACTTATTTTATTTATTTATTTTTTTTTAAGCGGAGAGGTCGGTTCTTTTCAGAAATTCTTGAAAATCCTCAACTGTACCTTTAACATTAAAAATTGTGTCTTCCACATTAGGACCGGCCTTGGGTCCCCACAAAACCTGTTGTTCCTCAAACGGTTAGAAACTATACCATAAATGGTCCTAACTAGGTAACATAAAGATGAAAAACGTGTTTAAATCCAGGAACAATCAGCTTTTAGTGGCAGCGGGAACAGCTCATTGATGCGTTTCTACCCGGATCAAACGACTCGACAAGCGACCCACGTTAAAATCTCCTCGGCTCTGATCGGCATGCTGCGGGAACACCACACCCGGGTTGACCCGCTAATTTACTTGACACCATTGAATGAAACGTACGGACGTCGACACACCGCACCAGTGGCTTCTGTTTACATTTGATAAACATGGAGCAGCTCTGATGAGAGGGATCAAGACAGATAATAGAGTGAAGCAATAAAGCACACTGACTACGCCCTGGCTTTATTCCATGCTGCTCTACATTGTTTACTTTCCTGATATTTGTCACACTGGTGACAGCATCAAAACTAACCCAGTTTTAGGAGGCAGCATTAGGAGGTCAGAGGCCATGCAGCTGCCACCCAGATTTTTTTGCCAAATGCCGATTGTTAGCTGGTCGACCCGTGTTAGAATAAACAAGCGTTAAAGATTTCAGGGGGACGGAGACTATACATAAACTTTTCACGCTATGCCTATCGGGACTTTCTCTTCATTTGCCACTTATTTCTATGGCCAAACCCTGACTGTTACCAACACGTCTAAACTTAAGCTAAGCTTAATTCACACCTTAGTCCTTAACACAACCCCATCCCAAGAAGAGACCTTCTCCTCATGGGGTCCAGTCATTGGCCCCCCATCAGGGACTATTTTTGGGAAATTGTCCCCACATGGTAACCAAAACATGGCCCCACACTCAATCACTCGCTCACTCCTAATAGTCATGTTTTTGGACAGTAGGATGAAGCTGAAGCACCAAGAAAAACCCCACAGACGTACCGGGAGAACATGCAAACACCAGGCGGATAAACCCTTAGCTGGGAACGGAACATAGGAGCCCACCGCTTCAAGGCAACGATGCTACAACCTGTGCCACCGTTCAGCCCAAACAAATCGATCCTAACATTTTATCTTATTTATGTATTAGTTTTGAATTTCTTGGCTAACTTAACCCCAAGAGAGGTTTTCTATCAAAGAGTCTGCTACCTTACATCTGCATAACAACACTCCATTTTAATTCTTCCTGTAAAATTCTGTGGATATAAGCTTTTTACCCAGATTCTGGTTAACGCCAGGGATCTTTAATCATGTAAGTCACCATTTTTGGTAACTTGGCTATAAAAACCACTTAGTAGAAAATACGGCAATGTTATTGTTTGTAAGCTCAATAAAAAAGGTAAACAGCCAATTCTAAAAATTAAAAAGTTAGGCTAAAAAGTGGAAAAACTGTAAGTTCCTGTATCAGCATAAATGCTCTGATGGTTATGCTGTAGTATAAAATGTGTTTCTTTCTTTCTGCATTTGTTTTTTTTGTTTTTTTTCCCCTGAATTTCTTATTGAAGCCCTCTCTGGATTTATATTTTTTTTTACCATATTAGGGCAAGTGACTGTTTTTAGTCATTATTATCATCATGAATATATATATATATATATATATATATATATATATATATATATATATATATATATATATATATATATATATACATATATACACACAGGTGCTGGTCATAAAATTAGAATATCATGAAAAAGTAGATTGATTTCAGTAATTCCATTTAAAAAGTGAAACTTGTATATTATATTCATACATTACATACAAACTCATATATTTCAGATGTTTATTTTGTTTAATTTTGATGATTACAAATGACAACAAATAAAAATCTCAAATTCATCATATCAGAAAATTAGAATATTACTGAAGACCAATAAAAACAAAGGATTTATAGAAATGTTGGCCAACTGAAAAGTATGAACATGAAAAGTATGAGCATGTACAGCACTCAGTATTTAGTTGGGCCTCCTTTGGCCTGTATTACTGCAGCAATGCGGCGTGGCATGGAGTCGATCAGTCTGTGGCACTGCTCAGGTGTTATGATAGCCCAGGTTGCTCTAATAGTGGCTTTTAGCTCTTCTGAATTGTTGGGTCTGGTGTATTGCATCTTCTTCTTCACAATACCCCATAGATTTTCTATGGGGTTAAGGTCAGGAGAGTTTGCTGGCCAATTAAGAACAGGGATACCATGGTCCTTCAACCAGGTACTGGTAGCTTTGGCACTGTTTGCAGGTGCCAAGTCCTGTTGGAAAATGAAATCTGCATCTCCAAAAAGTTGGTCAGCTGCAGGAAGCATGAAGTGCTCTAAAACTTCCTGGTATGTGGCTGCGTTGACCCTGGACCTCAGAAAACACAATGGACCAACACCAGCAGATGACATGGCACCCCAAACCATCACTGACTGTGGAAACTTTACACTGGACTTCAAGCAACGTGGATGAAGTGCCTCTCTTCTTTTCCTCCAGACTCTGGGACCTTGATTTCCAAAGGAAATGCAAAATTTACTTCATCAGAGAACATGACTTTGGACCACTCACCAGCAGTCCAGTCCTGTTTCTCTTTAGCCCAGGCAAGACGCTTCTGACGCTGTCTGTGGTTCAAGAGTGGCTTGACACAAGGAATGCGACAGCAGAAACCCATGTCTTTCATACGTCTGTGTGTGGTGGTTCTTGAAGCACTCACTCCAGCTGCAGTCCACTCTTTGTGAATCTCCCCCACATTTTTGAATGGGTTTTGTTTCACAATCCTCTCCAGGGTGCGGTTATCTCTCTTGCTTGTACACTTTTTTCGACCACATCTTTTCCTTCCCTTCGCCTCTCTATTAATGTGCTTGGACACTGAGCTCTGTGAACAGCCAGCCTCTTTAGCGATGACCTTTTGTGTCTTGCCCTCCTTGTGCAAGGTGTCGATGGTCGTCTTTTGGACAACTGTCAAGTCAGCAGTCTTCCCCATGATTGTGTAGCCTATAGAACTAGACTGAAAGACCATTTAAAGGCTTTTGCAGGTGGTTTGAGTTAATTAGCTGATTAGAGTGTGGCACCAGGGGCCATCAATTTTGAACCTTTTCACAATATTCTAATTTTCTGATATGATGAATTTGAGATTTTCATTTGTTGTCATTTGTAATCATCAAAATTAAACAAAATAAACATCTGAAATATATGAGTTTGTATGTAATGTATGAATATAATATACAAGTTTCACTTTTTAAATGGAATTACTGAAATCAATCTACTTTTTCATGATATTCTAATTTTATGACCAGCACCTGTATATATATATATATATATATATATATATACACAAAAGTAATATGGTCTTGTTCTGTCCAATAAAACTATTCAGGGTTAACACTATAAAGGGTTAAGGCTGACTGGCAGCACTGCAGGTTTTTTATTTTTAGGAACGGTGGTCAGCTGCCTTCCTGTTTCCAGTGAAAACTCTCCTTCTCACTGAGATTTACTGCTGAAACCCCCAAACAGCTCTGATCCTGTGATTAAAGTCATGGGATCAGGGACATTTATCACAGGATCATTTCACTGAAACTATCACTCCCTAATCCTGTAAATAAATTGAGGGATTGTTTACTTCCTATATACAGCCAGTAAGCAAATGTCTTGAATAGCATCAGTTTAAACTAGAACTAATCGCTGTTATCTGTCATGTGGACGGCTGGCCTTCTTCCAGGCAGCTTTGAACACAAACCATGGTGAGTTACTGATTAACTCCCTAGCTTTCAGTCCTACTGCGCACAAATATGGGGCTGAATGCCCACCCTGAATGAACGCCTGTTGTACCGTTTCTGCATAAAAAAAGTTTTAATTTGTCAAGATTTTATTTGAAACTAAAATCCAAATATAGACCAGAATAAAAACAGATAAACGCATGTGAAAAGTGAATTCAATTGATGATAAATTATTACAACTGCGTAACATTTCAAAACAGTACATCATGTAAGCCTTTTCTTCAGTGCAACTCCTGCTGTTTATATTGATAACTGCATATTCCTGCTACTTTGTCATTTCTTATTCCAAAAAAGTAAAAAAAAAAAAAAAAAAACATAAAAACAATCCACTGGACTTTGTTTCCAAGTTTGAAGACGTTTCTCTTCACATCCAGGAAGCTTTATCAATTCAAAATGTCAGAAATAGCGTTGAGTTCCAGGTTTTATTCAGTAGCCCAACAAAGCCTGGTTTTAGTTTAGAAAACATGCAAATAGGAACAGACGAACGGGTCCACCCCTTTGGAATGGGGGTTGTTTGGTTTCTTTGTTAACCTGCAATGCCCCAAACCTGTCTATGTCTCTGAAAGGGGGGGTTGTTAAAGGACAAGTCCGCTCATATTCTCAAACTTCTGAAAGTACTTTAAAAATGAAATTATTACATACTGTTCAAAAAATGATCAGCGTTTTTCATTTTTAGTGGAGGCATCCATGTTTGTCAAAGAACACTACTGCCACCTACTGGTTAGTGACGTCACGGTGCGGTATCGGCTGTTGATCAAGTCCCAGTGCTGTATCTGGTGTTTGTCACAATGCGCTATTATCCAAGTCATCTTGAAAACATTCTTCTTCCAAATGTTGGCTACATATTACGTGTTTTTTCTCTGGCCAGAAGTTCGATGGCAAATCCTCCCTCTTCAAGTTGGCGATCCAACGACCAACCCGTCCGTGGAGGATCAGGAATCAGAAAGGTGGAATAACTCTTTTTTTTTCACTTTTACCCGATGTATTCCAACATCCAGCTGCCATGCATGTGGGCATTGTCAGTTTCACTATAGCTCTGGAGAATTTCAATGGTGAAGTCTTCTGGAAATCTACTGATTAAAGCTAAATTCATTAAATCACCACAAATGTCTTAGTTTAAGGTATAAATAATGATCCATGATTATTCCTTACTGACCGGACTTTTCCTTTAAAGGGAATTGTTGGCCTGGTTCGGAGGTCGGCAACCCGCGGCTCCGGGGCCGCATGCGGCTCTTTAGCGTCCCGCTTGCGGCTCCCTGGACATTTTACAAAAAGTTCTCAAACTCTTTTTTTTTTTTTATGGTGTGCAGAAGGTCAAACAAAAAAGTATTATGTTTTCCAATGCTGTAAACATTGGTATAATAAATACATTTAAATGATAGTTTGCGTCAAAGCCATAGAGATCAGTGGTCATAACTGGCAGCCAGTGTGGCACGGTGCCAGGCTAACAAAGCTGCAGGTGTGTCTCGGACCCAAAGGGAAAAAAGGAAGATAGCTGATGAGAAGAGAGGATATAAAGAATTATCATTATCAATGTGGAAGGATTGCCTGCATTTTTGCTTTGTGATGAGAGGTTGTCAAAAAATAAAAAGAAACATTTCCCTGGCCATTTCCAGGGAAGGCTAAATATGCAGCCAATCACAAAGTTGGGAGAGAGAGAAAAAGTGGGATTGCAGAACTTCTGGTTAATTAGAGGAGAGCAAAGATAGATTTAAGAAGTGGATTACATCTCCAAACTCAACTACTGCTGCTAGTTTGGTTGCAAGGATGGAAAACCGTCCACAGATCTAACAGGTAGAGCTCTGATGCTGGGATGGGAACTTTCTTCCATTTTTCCCCAAATCCTAAACATGTAAATCACACCAAGGAGCGCTGGGATGGGGGATTTCAGGGTTAGAGAGCTCTGCTCTGATGGATGTCAGTTCCTGCTTGGTTCCTCATGACTCCATCAGCTCTTCCCAACAGAAACACGTCCTCCATAGAAAGATTCCATAATCCAGTTTCTATAATTTCATCAATGCAACCAAAACTTAAACCGCGCGGTGAAGCGCCGCACAGTGAGAGCGTTCACTGCTCCTCCCTCACCTCATGCTGCCATGTGACACTTTCTCCAGGATAAACATTTAATCATGAATGAAGCTTATTATATATCTAAGCCGACATAGTCCTTTTCTATAGTGGGATAATACACTTAGAGCCCGTAGTGCCAAACCAGGCATATATAAGACTTTTACATGTTTGTGGCTCCAGACAGATTTATTTTCTCTTTTTTGTCCATTATGGCTCTTTGAGCAGTTTGGGTTGCCGACCCCTGACCTGGTTGAACAGGCGAGGTCTTCTGCTCTCCTGTAAAGCTGTCGCCATGATAGCAGGAAGGGATGAACTCAGTTCCTGCATTGTACGTTTTTTAAACCTGAAATCTGAGTCCACCTCCTCTGTTTAAGGTGGGGTTTCCTTATATAGGTATAAAGCCTGAAACTCAACGCTATTTCTGACATTATGAATTGAAAAGCTTCCTGGATGGGAAGAGAAATGTCTTCAAACTTGGAAACAAAGTCCAGTGGATTGTTTTTCATTTTCTTTTTCGGAATGACCTCGATGACTGAGTACCATCACTTACATTTTATGCTGACTGAAGCTCCGCCCCCTACGGTGCTATTAAATTATATGAAAAACACTAAACTAACCACGTTCCTCTCATGTTATAAACGTAAACAGCTACAAACTCTTCCTTCTTTCCACTTTATGGTGTCATGTTTTTATCAACCTAACGTGACTCAGTAATCCTGACTCTGAGCCAATCACCTGAACCTGATCACCTAAACCTGATCACCTGAACCTGATCACCTGAACCTGATCACCTGAACCTGATCACCTGATCCGCAGTGTCCTGATCACCTGGACATGATCACCTGTGTCCTGATCACCTGTACCTTATCAACCGTGTCCTGATCAGCAGTGTCCTGAATACCTGAACATGATCACCTGTGTATTTATCAGCAGTGAGCTTTCAGCTCTACCGCCACCTGCTGGGGGAAACGCCCACCTTTTCCACCAACAGGTGATCTTAGAGCTGGACTTTGAACCTTCAACCTCTCCGCTCAACGAGCTTCCTCAGAAATAACCCAAGTCAGATAAAAGTCAGTTTCCTGCTGAGCATTAACTCCTTATTGAGTTGCATTCATTATTGCGCCTCTGTTTGTGAGTTTCGCAGCGTTCAGCAGCTGCTGACTTTACCTTGTTATAATGGACCTCCGGCTGGGTGCTCGGAACAGGAACGGCGGTTCCATAGAGGCGGGCAGGCGGCCGGATCAGGCGGGGAAGCAGCGGGGAGAGCACGGTGCGGAGCATGCTGACTTTCCCTGCAGTCAGGCTGAATGTGGATCAGTGCAGATTTCACTTTGATTCTTCTTCTTTGGAAAAACAGGCTGGAGTTAAAGCGAGGGGATTCTGCTGCCCCCCTGTGGACAGGCAGCGCAGCTCACTACTGACTTTTAAAGGCGCAGTAGGAGATCTTTTCTGACGCATTTTTAGCATGTGGCTTAAAGATCTCCCCACAGCCGCTTAGCAAGCAGTGAAATAGAAGGTCTGGAAGTGAAACTAAAATAAATGGTCCCAACTACAGTGAGAAATCAATGAATAACCCCAACCAATCACAAAAGACGGCCTGTTGTACACGATTGGTTCCTGACACGTCAGAACACCATGGCTGGAAGCTAGCCACGCAGCGAGAGATTGTAGAAGGTTAGTTCTGACGCATGGCTGAAGAATCTCTAGCTGTGGGTCTGATGCGCATCGGGCCGAGCTACTCTATCCTTTCTTTGCCTGGAACAATGGCAGCTATATTTGCTGCGATCAGTGGGTAAAAAAATAGTAAAATAAAAAAAAACACTGGAATATTTAATCACATTTAAAGTATGTGTATAAGTGTGTGTATGCATGTGCATATACACACATGTACATGGATATCAATATGCAGATTTGTGCATACCATTGAGGTATGTATTATTTACTTCCCTCTGACATCATTGATGACCACACTAAAAAACAAAAGAAGAAGTTCCAAACAGACAGCAGCAAATCATTTGAAAAGAAACCATGCAAAGAGCAGTGTTGCCAACTTAGCGCTTTAGTCGCTATATTTAGCCTCTTTCAGACCCCTCTAGCACTTTGATTTCTAAAAAGCTCCTAGGGCCTAATCTAGCGACTTTTTTCTGCTACTGGAGACTTTGGCGCCAACATCTAAAAGCAGCGAACTCTGCTCTCCAGAGCAAGTAGATTGGTAACCCCGCCTCCTGCTCTCCTCTATCTTGTCTGCTGTCATGATTCATGCAGCTATTATTTCATCCAAATGAAAAATGGAGAACAGATAAGCAGATCATGGCTTGTCTACAGTGAAAAGAAGGACTGGGTTATTTACTTTGGCCTTTTTGGAAACACAGGAAGGAGCAATCAGCTAAGTGAGCTTAGTGCTTGGAAAAAATCTTTCATTCCTTTAGAGACAGCATGAAAAGTCAGCTGAGTACAAAACATGGAGAGGAAAACCAGAAGAAAAGGGACAAGAAGAGAGGGACAAAACCTAGAACAGATAATGGATGTCTATTCTATTAACATTTCTCTATCTGTAGAATGGGTCTGTTTTATGTGTTGTCTTCTTAATTCAGAGGGCCCCCTGCCTGTCTTTGCCTAGGGCCCCACATTTCCTTAATCCGCCCCTGATAGTTTACATATGCTGTTTATTCAGTAATGTTTTCCAAAGCTCTAATTTCTTCACAAAGTTTTCCCTCGAGCCCTGTGGTCAACAGTCCGCCGCTTCAAATAAAATACGGCGCTCAGTGCTGAGGAAGCCGGTTAGGGGAGCAGGTCGACCTCCCCAAGATGGCGCCCGTATTTTCTGCGCCGCGACTGTCAATGCGGAGTCTGCTCTTATACAGGTAAAAGCCAGTAAATTAGAATATTTTGAAAAACTTGATTTATTTCAGTAATTGCATTCAAAAGGTGTAACTTGTACATTATATTTATTCATTGCACACAGACTGATGCATTCAAATGTTTATTTCATTTAATTTTGATGATTTGAAGTGGCAACAAATGAAAATCCAAAATTCCATGTGTCACAAAATTAGAATATTACTTAAGGCTAATACAAAAAAGGGATTTTTTAGAAATGTTGGCCAACTGAAAAGTATGAAAATGAAAAATATGAGCATGTACAATACTCAATACTTGGTTGGAGCTCCTTTTGCCTCAATTACTGCATTAATGCGGCGTGGCATGGAGTGGATGAGTTTCTGGCACTGCTCAGGTGTTATGAGAGCCCAGGTTGCTCTGACAGTGGCCTTCAACTCTTCTGCGTTTTTGGGTCTGGCATTCTGCATCTTCCTTTTCACAATACCCCACAGATTTTCTATGGGGCTAAGGTCAGGGGGGTGGCTGGCCAATTTAGAACAGAAATACCGTGGTCCGTAAACCAGGCACGGGTAGATTTTGCGTTGTGTTCAGGCGCCAAGTCCTGTTGGAACCTGAAATCTCCATCTCCATAGAGCAGGTCAGCAGCAGGAAGCATGAAGTGCTCTAAAACTTGCTGGTAGACGGCTGTGTTGACTCTGGATCTCAGGAAACAGAGTGGACCGACACCAGCAGATGACATGGCACCCCAAACCATCACTGATGGTGGAAACTTTACACTAGACTTCAGGCAACGTGGATCCTGTGCCTCTCCTGTCTTCCTCCAGACTCTGGAACCTCAATTTCCAAAGGAAATGCAAAATTTGCTTTGGTCAAAAAACATGACTTTGGACCACTCAGCAGCAGTCCAGCTCTTTTTTTCCTTAGCCCAGGTGAGACGCTTTTCGCGCTGTTTATGGTCAACAGTGGCTTGACACGAGGTATGCGGCAGTTGAAACCCATGTCTTTCAAGCGTCTCTTGGTGGTGGATCTTGAAGCACTGACTCCAGCAGCTGTCCACTCCTTGTGAATCTCCCCCACATTTTTTAATGGGTTTTTTTTTTCGCAATCTTGACTAGGGCGCGGTGATCCCCATCGCTTGTACGCTTTTTCTGACCACAGTTTTTCCTTCCCTTTGCCTCTCTATTAATGTGTTTGGACACAGAGCTGTGAGAACAGCCAGCCTCTTCAGCAATAACCTTTTGTGTCTTTCCCTCCTTGTGCAATGTGTGGATGGTCGCCTTTTGGACAGCTGTCAAATCTGAAGTCTTCCCCATGTTTGTGTCGGCTTCAGAACTGGACTGAGAGACCATTTAAAGCCCTTTGCAGGTGTTTGGAGTTAATCAGCTGATTAGTTTGTGGCAACAGGTGTCTTCAAAATTTAACCCTTACACAATATTCTAATTTTGTGACACACGGAATTTTGGATTTTCATTTGTTGCCACTTCAAATCATCAAAATTAAATGAAATAAACATTTGAATGCATCAGTCTGTGTGCAATGAATACATATAATTTACAAGTTACACCTTTTGAAAGCAATTACTGAAATAAATCAAGTTTTTCAAAATATTCTAATTTACTGGCTTTTACCTGTATGTGTGTCAAACTTTTACGGAATCCATCGTAAGTATTCTGGTCTCAGTCCGGCAGGCGGCGCTATAACTCATTAAAGCGGATGTTAGTGACCCGGAAGAGGAAAGAAGGAGTCAGCGGCCGAAGAAGAAGCTGCGCTATCTGAAAGCTCGCTTAAAGCTCCTCAATAAAGTAAGTAACCAGCTGTTTGAGTGATTTACTCCCATCTGAAGCACCTTTAGCCTTCATACTAATGAGAAGTGTTAGTTTATGGTCTCCCTGTTATGTATAAATACGTTAACTGATAAAAAACAACTTTGTTTTTATCAGGCTGGTTTGGCGTCGGTATTAGCCCGAGTGGTAATCCTGAGTATTATGGGATTCTGAGGGTTTTTATGAACATCTCTGCTGTCAGTGATGATGATGATGTTCAGCAGCTTCATCCCAGTATCCATGCTAGCTGCACTGATCTCTAAACCTGCCTGGATTGTGTTTTTGCAGCATGGCGGTCAAGTCCGGGGAGGAACGGCTGAAGGAGATGGAGGCTGAGATGGCTCTGTGAGTAGCAGACCTGTCCTCTGATCATAGCCACTGACATACACCTCCATCAACTGGTTTCAGTTCACTACATAAAGCGTTCAGTTCAGGGCTATATGCAGAGCTGTAGCTAGAAAATGTTAATAATAATGGTGGCCAGGCAATAAGCATGTAGACTGAGGGATGGCAGAAGCTCTGCATCAATCTGCACTTTCCAACAGGAACAACATCCATGTTTTCTAAATAAAGACAAACTATACTCAACAACAGCCTAACAAATATATTTAACATCCATGCTGTCTAAATTAAAGGTGTAGTGGACAAAATTCTTTCAAGTTTCAGATGTGGGGAGAACAACTTACGGTAATCATTTAAATCTACTCATGTCTACATTAAATTTATTAATTACTGTTTTTAAAGTTATTATTTATCTATGATTTGACTGAAGACTCTTAGATGACTTGCAAAGACATCATTTTCTCTTTACTCCATAAGACAAAATCTAGTTCTGAAAACAGCATCAATTCTGTATCTTTTTGTGTTAGTATGTCGATGTGCATAATTAAAATACTTTAATAATCCCAGAGGGAAATTACTTTTGTTACACGCTCCAGTTACAGTTTTATATATACATATATACACACATCCAACTATACACGATAATAAAGTTAAACATAAAAAAGATACAATATATACACATATAACTCTTCTGTATATATATATAAAAAACTAAATCCAAGTACGGAGCGGTGTAACTGCAGAGTGTTGCTTTCGCTCATGCACACTAGTTGATGATTTTTTGTTTTCAAGTAACTTAAGATATAAAAAAAATAAAATGTTAAATAATTTACAACAATTCACTTTAGAGTATTACTGCTGCTACCATCTGAATTAGAGGAAAAAATTGTGGAGGTGGCCAATGATTGGCTAAGGGTTTCCATGGCCACCCCTGGCCCCCCATCTAGCTCCACCCCTGGCTATATGTAGCCTCTAACTCAACGCTATTTCTGACATTTTGAATTGAAAAAGCTTCCTGGATGGAAGAGAAACGTCTTCAAACTTGAAAATAATGTTTAGTGGATTTATTTTTATTTTTATTTTTTTTACTTCTTTGGATTGACTATGTCCTGAATGACTAAGAATGTTCACCAGTTCATCTACTGGTCATTCTCCTAACAGCCCTCCCTTTCCTCACCTCCAGAGACACCATTGGTCAACTATGACCAAAGGATTTAGCAGTGATGCACGTTTATTTACAGATTTTTTGTCTCACAGTCTAAAAAACATGCAGCT